GGTCAAGAGAGAGCGAGAGAGCGAGAGAGGGCGAGGGGGTGAAGAGATGTAGAGCTGGAGAGATCAATATGCGTTGGTCAAACGTATGCAAGACTCTTTGAGGAGTGGAATTCTTTAAGCCAATTATTATCAGTTCCATTGAACTTCTTAAGCAACGGTGGTCAGTGCGAAAACCAAATGTCGGTTCACTGTTCTGCTCTTCCTTCGGAGCTGAGCTAATTTCTTTCCCAATCGATAAACATGGAGATCGAACTGGCATTGGTTTTTGTTGGTTTAGTTTGGATCACTCTTACCGCTTCATTGCAAGCTGCAAGGGAGTTAGATTCCTACATAATGAACACATCTTCCTGAAAATCTTTCCATCTCATTTGCTTTGTTTGAATGAGTGCTTTCTAAACCTACCCCCAAACAGAAATTATATTGATTTTCTAAGCGTAGCTTAGATGTGGCACAAGGCCGAAAGTATGGGACACCCAGTGAGAATCGAACTCACTATACTGTAGTAATTGATCTAGCGAGACAAGTTTGCTAACCATTACACCACATCGAGGTGCCCAAAAACAGAAATTATAATCTGGAATTGGAATGAAAGTAGGAAGTGGTAAATACCAAACATTTCAGATATTAGGTTGGTGCAAAAATAATGACGTAAGAATGTCGTTTTTGACGTACGTCAAAAAACGACATTATTACGTCATTATTTTTGCACCAACCTAATACTTTGGAGTATGGATCAGTTATAACAAATTTAGTATAGAAGAAAAGGAAATTAAATATATTAGGTTGGTGCAAAAATAATAGCGTAATAATGTCGTTTTTTGACGTATTTTTTAACGTCAAAAACCGACATTCTTACGTCATTATTTTTGCACCAACCTAATAGTATAGGATGTGCTCGGGTTGGCTTCGCCCCACACCAGAAGATGTTACGATTCTAAAACATTAATCTAAAAACTAGAATAGGTACCTCCACTTTTCCGCTAAATATGAGCACACCAAGAGGAAAAATATCCCCAAAGTTTTATCGTCAAAATGTTTATATTATTATTAAGAGAAAGGACCAGAGTATTTTTTGAATATTTTATTAATTTTTTTAATCCTTTCTAGCACGTTCGAAATTTGGGTTAAATTTTTTTTTTCGTAGTGTCAGCGATTGGGCCAATTTCCTATGGGAAATTTAGCCTATTTTGCGGTAAAAAACACATTGGTCGGAAATTCTTGCAAAAATCAAATAATTGTCGGAAATTTTCAGGACTTATTCACAAATGAACTACTTTCAAATTTCCTTTTTTTTTTTTTTTTTTTTTTTTAGAAAATCTTGGTAAATATATATATTTTTTTCTTCTACATCTTAATTTTAAGACATTTCAAGAAATTAAATTTTCAGCCTCTTCATATTTATATTAGTCAAAACAAGGACACGTTGGAGAATTTAAATCATCCATTTGTTTTTGTCAAACAGAAACACCATTTACCAAAAATCTGCCCCGAATCGTAAAATAAAAACTATGACATTATTTAATTAGAAAAACTTTTAATTGTTTTTATAAATAAGATATCTTAAGGACACTATTCTTAAGAAATTTTTTTCGATGAATAATGAATTTTACAAAAATTATTTTCATTTTTTAAAAAACTTAATTAGAAAAATTTGTTAAGTTATGAATCTTTTAAGATTCTGTATTAATTTCCGCCTTTTAGATTCTATTCTTATTAGGTGAAAACTACTTACTAATCATAAATGGAAAAACTTAACAGCAGTCTTCAAGCGCCACGATTTCAAAAAGAATTTTGAACTTTTTTTTATGTGTAATCGTTTCCATTTTTGAAAGTATGGACGACCATACACGACATTATCAGAAAATCAGAGCTCGTATAATTTATTCATCAACAATGTAATTAGGAAAGTTATTATGAATGAGAGTGTTTAACGTTTTTCTAATTCAGTGTAGAAATTTTTTTTGTGGAAGCGTTAAGTTTTGAATGACATTAAATTTTGTATAATAGCTATTTTATAATCGTCAAGGAATTCACTTTTATCTTTTAGAGTGCACGTGTTTATGCTAGCTGTTTTTTTATATGGGGAGGTAGTAAATATATATATATATATATATATATATATATAAGTAAAAATGTTGTTCAAATTATTTTTTTAAATTTAAGAGACACTCATAAATATTAAAGTTAGCTGAAAAGTCTCGGTAATTTATGGAGGACGCTAAGTGACATAATTTAATTTCTAATAAACGAAAGGGAGTATAAGTTCTTATTGATAATATTTTATGTAAATTAATATTTAAATTATTTTAGTTTTGGATTACCGTATATTTCGGCTTACAAGACGTACTTTTTCATAAAAATATCCTGAAAAAGACGTATGCATCTTCCAAGACGAATGTAAAGCCAACGCAAAGACTCAAGTAAGTTTGGACGGTCACCTAAATGGCTTGACTAATAGGGACGTGGATTTGTATGTTGAGTCATTACACTATAATGTTAGCTATTTATGTAATTCAGCCTTTTAAATGATGTAACCTCAGTACTTATCGGTTACAAGTACTTCCAAGACTATAAACCTTCCTGGAGCCAAGCCACAAACATGCTTTGTTTACTACCAGTGGTGGGAGCATTTCTGGTCTTGACTAGTATGTCATTGCCATGCAAACAAAATCGGACGGGTGATTTACGTGGTGCCAGTATGTGAGGGACGTATGGTGAAGGTGTTGTATGAGAATGAGTTTTTTCTTAGAAATTTCTTTCCAATATTAGGGTGCGTCTTCCAAGCCACGGCGTCTTGTAAACCGAAAAATACGATAATTTATGTTATATATTTTAAATAACATGAAGTTATGAATTTAACCGTTTTCTTTTAGCATTTTTGCTCTTTTCTATAAATACTTGTTACAAAATAAAATCCTTGTATTTCCTTTGATAAAGTTCCTCAGAGGACGAAACGCGTTGGCTAAGATAAGTTTACCATTTGTCTTTATTCATATATGTCCTTTTTAAAATATATTCTATCTGAAATTTATATATACATATAAAGTTTGACACATCGAGGAACCAGAGATCTGGTTTTTGCTAATAATACGATTTCCACCAGAAAATACGCCTTCTACAAAAACATCTGTCGGTGAGTAATTCCCATTTCTCTGTTTGTTACTCAGACCATATCCGAAAATTCCGAACATAAAACCTTTCTCTCTGTGCTTCGTTTCTGTCATATGGCTAATATTTAATAAATGTTTATCGTACTGATTATATTGTTACTCTTTCACTTATCCTGGTTTTATCAACCAATCTATCTATCTATCTATTATAAATTAATTGATTTAAAATATGTTTTTTTTCGCTACACAGTTCTAACCATGTTTCAAAAATGGAAGCTAAACCACGAATTTAATTTTGTGATTAAATTAAAGACATTAATTCCATTTCATCCTCAAGCGAATTTTGGAGTTATATATATATATTTATGAATAAAAATGACAATAGGAAAACTGGTAATTGCTGACGCGTTTCGTCCAATGTGGACATTATCAAAGCAAAATACGAAATTTATTGCGTCAGCAATTACCAGTTTTCCTATTGTATTTTTATTCATAAATATTTTCTTCTCTACTGGTTAAATCAGAGAAATTTTCATATATATATATATATATATATATATATATATATATATATATATATATATATTATTCGCCGATTTAGCACGATGGGGAAAGGGAATTTTAACGGCTGCTGCTGCTTTAGATGCATCACTCATCGAAAGAATTGAGCTATATGGCGACCGGTATAGCGTTCACATACATCACGTATATAATGCGTTAAAAATTCCCTTTCTCTGTCGTGAGCTGGTAGTCTAGGGATAAGGGTCTCTGGCTGATATCAAATCGGTCGAGTTTCTATTGCGGCTTGAAACAATCGGATGTCTATTCACACTGATGATACAGCGAAACAGTCTCTCTGTGAATGACTATAATTATTTCGGTTGGGCTCTCTAAGTAGAAAGTGTGAGTTTTTATAAAGTGACTATTAATGCTACTAATGCAGTACTTTTCGATAAAACGAATCGAGTTCTCTCAGTCACTGGTGTACTTATCTAAAAATAAATATGCTTAAATTTACTTTCATCTCTGCCGTGAGCCAACGGCTTAGAGGTAAATTCTCTGACTGACGCCAATTCAGTCGGCTTTCGATCCTAGCTAGAAGCAAGCAGACGTCTATCCACACTGATGAGCTGTGATACAGCGAAACAGTCTGTCTGTGGATGACAATATATATATATATATATATATATATATATATATATATATATATATATATCGTAAAACAAGTGTTTTTGTGGATTTACTTTCTTTGTTCACTTCCGGGTCATCTAATTTAATAAATGTATTTGGGCAGCATTCACTCTTTTATACATGTTTCATTAAAAACGACTGACAAGGTACTGCGGTTAAGATTTTTAGTTTCCTTGTTGTTGCCGGATGATGTAATTTAATAATTATTTATTTCGGCAGCAATCCCTGTTTTATACAGGTTTCATTGAAGATGATTGACAAAGCACTGCGATCAAGTTTTTATTATATTTTCCTTTAATATATAATTATTTTTTTGGTCAACAAAAGAAAGTTCTTGTACGCATGCAAGAAAAATATAATAAAAAGCTTAATCACAGCGGTTTGTTAGTCGTCTTCAATGTATAAAAGATGGATTGGTCAGTACTTAATCATTATTGTCACCATTTATTTTATAGTTCATATTATTTTATTTCAACAAAACAATGTCCATATTTTTTTCGTATAAATTCAAATTATTTCTGTTCGAATGCAGAAGTTCTTTTTGATAAAAATTATAACAAAAGCAAATAAAGTATTTTTAAAATTCAGAAATTCAGAAATTCTCAGAAATCTAAATACGGATTTATTTTACACTGTCAATAGGTAGCATTTATAGCGTTTATTAACAAACATATCTTTCATCACTGTACAGGGCATTTT